GTCGTCTCCTCTCTGCACTAGAAAAATGTACTTTATTATAATGTTCACTGTAATGCATCTTAATGTTCTTAATAAATAAATTAAATCAAAGATATTGGTCAGTAATGCCAAATATGTAAATTTGTGTTTCAGTCATTTTTATTCTGGCTTAAAAATACTTCATTAAGTCTACTAAGCAGCGGTGTAGAAGGTTTTTAATAGGGCCAGCCCAGTAATGGTCTTGGACCACAATAAAGGGGGCAGAAAGTCAAATAAAAGGGGGCAGAAGGAGACGTTTTTCCAAACGCCAAGAAAAATTAAATGCCAGATCCAGCCTGCAAAGTGTGTCACTGAGAGTTTAAAACAGAAATTATTCTTGTGCAAATATTGGTGTATTCACCTTTAATACTGGTTATTAAAATGCAGCAGTTGCTGGACTGGTGCAGTTCAGAGTGGAGTGCATCAAATAAAACAATATTAACATAAAGGTGAGACGTGTCATAAACTGTTTACCCTAATTAAAAGTAACAAAAAGGGGTAGAACTGTTTTTTAAACAAATTAAAGAATACAAAAAAAATGTAAAAAGCTAAAGCAAAGTGCAAAACCTCCAAAGTGAAGCTCAGTATCTGAGTAGATGTATGCTACGTCTAAACTTTCGCTACTGCTCATCCTGCAGAGGCAGACTCCGCTGCAGCATAAATCAAACCTTCTCTGTTCCGGGGATTTAGCATCGCTAGGCAGAATCAAACAATGTAGATGAAACAAATCCAACAGAAAAGCTTTATGTGTTTTCTGGTTATTTAAAATATGCATTAAGAGTGATTTCATAATGTTTAGCTAAAAGATAATACTGCTTTAACTTCTTACTTCTACCAAATAAACATGCATTTTATGATAATTAGCCTTAGTTTACAGTTCACTTTTATGTCTGTTTTTAATTAAATTCACTTGCATTGAGATTATCAATCACCTCTGAATAATCTAGATACCATCTGGGAATTGATCAGCTCTTCCGCTTCGTCAACACAACACACGTAAGAGGAAGAGGTTTTTAGGCAAATGTCTGATTTATTGATAAAAGATGAAGGAGATTGGAAAACGGATAAATCACTGGTTGGTTGGTAAATTGTTCTGATAAACTATGATTACAATCAGTCGGTTAAATTAAACATGTGACCTAGTGGAGTAGAAAGAGTGAAAGAAACTATGGTCGCCTCCATAATGAATAAATAAAAACATTAGCATAATTTTTTTGTGATATTTGGTTTTTAACTGGAAATGGAAAAAGCCTGGGTGTTTCTCAGTGGCAAGGCGCCTGGCCGCAGGTGCCTTGCTTACGAGGACACTGTCCTTCCTTGGTCAAAGAAAATGGTTAAATGGAACAGACTAGCATCACGTGACCGCGGCTTCCATAACGTCACGTGACACGGAAAATAACGTTAAATTTTATACATATAAGTTTCAATATAAATATATAACGAGGCTTTTACTTTTAAAATTGTGTATGTATTGGTTAAATTAAATATGTAAGCAAGTTACTACCTGCTAGCCACCGAAGCTGCAACTACTAACCAACTAACAAACCATAGCTAACTTCTTTGGATATAAAAAAGTTTAAAAAAAAACATTTCAGATATCAACTCTATCTAGCTACAATTAGTTGATTTACATTTAAACTTGAAATTTGCCCCCGAAGTAGCTGCCGGCCATCCTTTTGAAAATACTGCGGTGTATTCTGGGAAATTTTTGACCAAGGCTAGGCTACAAGGCACCTCCTGTGTATCCTTGCTCAGCTAGCTAAACAGCTAACAAACGGAGAACAGACGCCTGGGTAGAACATGAACACTGGAATACGTCTTGGCGGTTCTTGATGATGTATCTCCTAGGCAACCGGGGCGGGGCCAAGACATCAAGGCAAGGGTGTTTCTCAATGGCAAGGCGCCTAGCCTTGCGAGGCGATGTCTTGCGAGGCCAGGCGCCTCGCTTACGAGGACACTGTCCTACCTTGGTCAAAGAAAACGGTTAAATGGAACAGACCTGCATCACGTGACCATGGCTTCCATGGCAGTCACAACACGGTAGATAACGTTATATTTTATACGTATTAGTTTCAATATAAAGATATAACAAGCCTTTTGCGTTTTAAATTGTGTATATGTTTATTAAATAAAAAATATAAGTGAGTTACTACTCACTAGCCACCGAAGCTGCAACTACTAAGCAATTAACCAACCATAGATAACTTCTTTGGATTGAAAAACCATTTTAAACTAGTTGGCTTACTTTTAAACTTGAAATTTTGCCCCCGAAGTAGCTGCCGGCTTCTCATCCGCCATCCTTTTGAAAATACTGCGGCGTATTCTGGGTAATTTTTGACCAAGGCTAGGCTACAAAACACCTCCCGTGTATCCTTGCTCAGCTAGCTTAACGGCTAACAAACGGAGAACACACGCCTCGGTAGAACATGAACATTGGAATACGTCTTGGCGGCTCCTGATGATGTATCTCCTAGGCAACCGGGACGGGGCCAAGACATCAAGGCGAGGATCCTTGGCACTGAGAAACACCCAAGGTTCTCCTGTGACACATATGTTAACTCCTGCCAGCTGACATTTTATTTATCTTTGTTTGTTTGTGTACTTCCTGTAAAGTCTTCGTCTGTTGACGGTCCCGTTATTTTTCTTGAAGTGACACCTACTGCTCATGAGGGGAACTGCAGGAGCTCAGTGCCGCTCATTTTAGAGACAAACTGTCATGCTGACTGTACGCCTAGTTAAGTCAAAACTTCAGAATTCTGATTTTAATCTCAGAATTCTGACTTTATTTCTCAGAATTCTGACTTTTTTCTCAGAATTCAGATTTTTTTCTCAGAATTCAGACTTTATTTCTCAGATTTCAGACTTTATTTCTCAGAATTCTGACTTTATTTCTCAGAAATCTGACGTTTTTCTCAGAAATCTGACTTTATTTCTCAGATTTCAGACTTTTTTCTCAGAATTATGACTTATTTTTCTCAGAATTCTGACATTTTTCTCGGAATTCTGACTTTTTTTCTCAGAATACAGACTTTTTTTTCTCCAAATTCTGACTGTTTCTCAGAATTCTGACTGTTTTTTCGGAATTTTGACTTTAATCTTACAATCTGACTTTTTTCTCAGAATTCTGACTTTTTTCTCAGAATTCTGACCTCATTTCTCGGAATTCTGACTTTATTTCTCGGAATTCTGACTCTTTTCTTGGAATTCTGACTTCATTTCTCGGAATTCTGACTTTATTTCTCGGAATTCTGACTTTTTTCCCAGAATTCAGACTGTTTTCTCGGAACTGTGACTTTAATCGTAGAATTCTGACATTTTTCTCATAATTCTGACTTTTTTCCCAGAATTCAGACTGTTTTCTCGGAACTGTGACTCTAATCGTAGAATTCTGACTTTTTTCTCAGATTTCTGACAGTTTCTCAGAATTCTGACTTCATTTCTCGGAATTCTGACTTTATTTCTCGGAATTCTGACTTTTTTCTCAGAATTCTGACTTTGTTTCTCAGAATTCTGACTTTTTTCTCAGAATTCTGATTTTAATCTTTGAAATCTGACTTTTTTCTCAGAATTCAGACTTTAATTTCAGAATTATGACTTTCATCTCAGAATTCAGACTTTAATTTCAGAATTATGACTTCAATCTCAGAATTATTACTTTAATCTTAGAATTCTGACATTTTTCTCAGTAACAACAGATGGAAGTTTGCAGATGGATCCTGGAAGTAAGAGTAAAGTATTTGGCGGCGAAGCAAAGAGCTAAACCCAGAGTAAACATCACTACGGTCTATGCTAGTTTGAGGGAGCTATCACAGACTGATGGTGACCTGGCTTTGTTGCTACTGGACTTGTAAGTAATAATATTACTATATTACATAATATAATAATAATGAATGGCAATAATATAATATATTTTGTCCAACAGTATGGCTCTTTTTAATTTGTGGTTTATTTTAGTATTAGTTGGTTAGCCCGTTGTTAGCACTAGCTACAGCAGGCTGCTGCAGGAAGCAGGAAACTGCTCAGTGTTACTTTGTTGTGAACTAAAGAGAAGATGACAAACTTTTCTTGTCAGACAGTAAAACCAAATACAGAGTGAACAAGGCCAACAAAAGTAAAACAATCACTCACTGAATAATACAAGCAGAATTGTTTGCAGTGTTCGAATAACAGGGGAGCTCGGAGGAGCCAGGCTCACCCAAAACGGTGATGGGCTCCCCTGGAATCCCTCAGCTAACACATCCAGGAGGAGCCCAAAAAATTATCCAGCTTCAACCTATATTACATTATCTTTGTAGAGTTATAATGGAGGTGACGGATGAACTATTTGGCAAAAAAATGCTCAGTTTTCCTATTGATTAATTATCTAATGCATAATAACCTTTGATTAATAATGTATTAAAATTAATAACACATCTATTAACTGTTTATTAGTCATTTATAAGGGGAGCCTCGTTATAAAGTGTTAAACCCTTCATTGCAACAACGCTATATGTTTCCTCGTGTTTTTGACAACGAGAAGACAAACTTCATCATCTCGTCTGGCAGCTACTACATCGTTCACACTACCAACCAGACATTTTAAACACACGTTAGCCTGAACTAGACAACCAGGAGGTATCAGATCTACGTTTCCTGGACTGATGGTTGTTTCCTCTCTCTCTCTTTGTGAGCTACAGTCCTCGCTGACTGCAGCGTGCCAAACCTCAGGAGGCTGTCACTTTCCGGAGCAACACGTCTGGCGCCGACAGCCACACTACATCTAAAGTCACTCCGAGTGCACATGTCTGCCTCTCTAACATTTAGTTGCACAGCAGCTGAATGTCTGTGTGCTTTACCCCTTCACTTTAATAATACGTGACTCCCTGGAGAGGTGAGCAGCTCGTGTAAAAATCAGTAAGAACGTGAAGACTTCATCGATTTGACAAAATACTTTTTTCTTCCACTTAAAACCCCGTCTGTTTTGCATCACAGGAGCCGCTTACCCTGGAAGATGGCGGCATTCTGGATGATGAGGTGTTTGAGTTGTGCAGTGACAACCTGCAGACCAGACTCCATGTTGCTGCGCGCAGCCACCTGATAGCGCTCCTCCATCTTCTTGGAACAGCAGGTCGGGCCTTTGGTTTGGCAAACCTGCAGATCCCCACCTGGCAGGAAATCAGCAGAGACAGGGTGGAGGTCTGGATGAGCAGAGGGAAGGAGCTGCAAAGCCACTGCTGTTTTTAATTTTCAAGAGACAGAAGCCTCGGCCATCTCTCTCTCTGTCACACACACACACACACACACACACACATACACACACAAAAGATTTAGCAGCCTTCTCTCCAAGCTAAATGCAGAAAACAACAATTCTGCCCCCTAATTAGAGTATTATTTTAGGTACAGGCGCTGTTATCTGGCACAGCTGAAGTCAAAAATAAATCACTGCTTGAAAATGACTCATTTTGATGCACAGAAGAGCAGCACAGAGCTGTGGATCTCTCCTTGGAGATCAATTTGGTCACTAGAAACTTTTTCACCACTAAAGGCTACACATTTTACGCTGCAGATGAAAAAAAATTAGTTTTCTTTTTTAGGCGCATGAATCAGAGTGAGATGCAGTGCAGCCAGCAAACAGGAAAAAGCTTCATCTTGCTTTCATTATGTGTGAAATGAAAAAAAAAAGCGTTCACACCTAAGAATGAAAGAACTTAAGCAGCGTTTGTGCACCTGACTGTGCACGCTGAAGGTTGTGGACACAGGTGAGAGGTAATTAAAGTCGTCTGAAAACATTTCATCTGTAAAACGTAACAAGGACGCATCGATTGGTTGGCGGAGCTGCAGAAAGCTCCATCTACGACCCTCTTTGGTGCCTTTATGGAAGAAATATGACAACAGGTTATTGTATAGACCTTTACTTTGTTGTCAGTTTTGTAAGATTATTTATTTAGAACTGCAGTTGGATTGATTAGTTCCATTTCAACTCAAAAATATTGTGAGAAGGTGCGACAGCTTGGGAGTCTTTGGCAGCGTCCACCCACATTCCAAAGCTCGGTTTTGATCCCGGTGCGTCACTGGGGAGTCCCGCCACAACAAAACAACCCAAACATCACACTTCTGTCAGCCTTTGATGTTAACGTTATCTCTGCATTCAAATGTTGATGTTTATTCTCCTCAAATAACTCAAGCCTGAGGAGTTCTGCCATGTTGTGGAGTTGCTAATGCTAACGGTTAACTTCTACTAGCCGAGACATGCGCGGCTCACTCCTGGACGCTAATCTTGAACAGCTTTCCCTGTCGTGACGCAAGATGGGTGAGTCCATGAATGTTTGTTTTCGGGGTGACATAGATCTGTCAGGCTTTTCTGGTCCGAGCGTTTCCTCGTCTATTTTCTAAACTCAGAGTGGCCAATTGTATTTCCATCATATTTAACTAGTAAAAAAACGATTTCTCAGTGAACTTGGTCTTAAAGGTTCCCAAAGTCACATTAGGCATGTTTCCATTACCAGAACTTGACCCGGAGATAGGATGTCCCGGTCCTCTCAGCTGTTATGTCTCATTCAGATCCAGCCCGTTCAGAACTCGCACAGACGGGAGCGTATCACGACTGCTTTGGCAGTGAGTGATGTCACTGATCAGCCCCAGAAAGCGCCCAAAGTAACATTAATAATATTAAAAGCGTTTATTTTCTGCTTCACCAGCTACTCTTCTAAGTTAGGGCATCTGCTGATGTCATTTCCTACTGATTTACAACCAATCAGCGTGAGTTAACCAGAGGTTCCTGAAAACGGCCGTTCGGACGGCCCGGTCAGGTGGAGACACGCGCATGTCGGGAGGTTCCTGTGGATCTACCCTGAAGTTCCTGTACCAAATCAAATCAAACTTTATTCATACAGCACTTTTCATTAAAATGACCCATATAACCCACATTCCCTCCCTTTGCCACACTTAAAACAATTATGACAGTTTCACCCCCCAATCCACAAAACATTACCAGGTGCACACACACACACACATATATATATATATATATATATACAGACACACACACACACATTCGTACACGTAACACATTAAAAGACCACAGTAAACACTAGGCTGAGCTCAGATTGGACAGGTAATGAAACACACGCCATCAAGGGAGCCATCTGCCTCGAATCTGTAGCGGAAACACGCCATTGTTAACTCACCTACAAAGAGTGAATGTAAACGTCCGTCAGTTTTAAAAGTTGTACAAAGATGTTTGTTGCTTTTGAAACTTAGCTGTGATTGATTTACATTGGATGAAATAAAACTTTTCTGGTATCGGGCTAAACTTCAAACACAATTGCTACGACCAAACGTCTCGTTTGGAGTTAGGGTGATCTGTGGAGGCTGCAGCTGCAACGTACCGTGTCGGGTTCAGTTCTTTGCAGAATCGATACTCTGAAAAGCGTCCGATTGATGGTTTTGTAAAACAAAAATCTGCAAACTTCTGAATGAGGTGCAGAAGATAAAAAGATGGAAGCAGGGAGTTTTTTCTGGGAAGTGTGTGTGGGGCAGATCGTGGTGCATGAATCAGAAAAAGTTTAAATAACTAGGATGTCAGAAGGCAGAGGAACAGCTTTTGTCAAGTCGAAGGGTTTATAGCGAAAACAACCGTGACTCGGTGTGTCGGTGCACAGCTTTGTCTCTGAGATCTTCAAACACTGGAGCCTCAGAAACAAATCACAGGCAGAGACAACGCAAACAGCCGCTGCAGAGGAAGTCACGGCACCTGGAGATGCTACAGAGTGACAGGTTTGATAATTAATAAGTGAGGAATCAAAGGGAGGACAGCTTCTGCTAACTCTGTGCTGACACCCGTCGGTGTGTACAGTCTAACAAGGAAAAGAGGCAATAAAGCTGTCAAACACCACCTTTCGTATGCACGCTGACGGCCTTAATATCTTAAATCAATACCAGACAGGGAGCACGGACAGATAAGATCACGTTAATTTCAGGGCTAAAAAATGATTAGAGCTTTCGGAGGTGGCCGGAGCAGAAAAGAGACGGGGGATTTTTGCAATTATTTCCAGCAAAACAGACAGATTCATCTGCGCGTTTGTCATCCGGTCCATGATAAATGTGTTTCATTACACGAGTTCCACTGCAGTGAGAGGAGGGAGGTGATTCCCAGAAGAGTTTCACAAATAATAAAATCGCACCGTCTAAATATAAAGTCTTTGTTGTGACTGACAGATCAGGTGGGAATAAGCTCCCTTCCTCTCCTATTTGCTTTGGGCTAATCCTCAGTTCTCCTCCTTCCCGCTGTTTTCTTTTAAACGTGCTCCGGTCTGTGTTGGGAGCTTGTTTCACTTCACCCACCCTGAGCTTAACGGCTCTGAGAACAACTCTCCATTAGCTGTTGTTGGTTAGCTAGTTGGTCATTTAGATTTTGGCGCGTGAGTCCGGATGGTCCAAACACAATGAAGGACGAAGTGAAAGGCTGGGAGCTATTTGCATGTAAATTTCCCAGCAAACCACCTCAAGGTGACACCGTAGAATTATTCCATGCTTTCAGTCGATACTCTGAAAGATGCTGGACAAATCCCACGTGCACAGCTGATGCCACTAATGCGAGCCTGGAGGCACCCGTGTGGCTTTCAAAGACTCGGCTTCACCCGACGATCCTCGGCCGCGTCTGATGCAGCCGATTTTCATTCACTTACTTTTGTTTTATTTTTAGAGGCTACTGGTGAAAAGAGCTCTTACGGTTCTGTGTGCACACAGATAAAGACGAGTCCGTCTCCTCACATCTTTAACAAGCTCGGGGACTCCGAGTCGGGGGGACGGGTGGGCAGCCGCAAATACAGCACGTTTTCCAGCGCCAATTAGAAAGCTATCGCCATGCAAGTTTAATGATAGCAGGAAAAACAAGTTGTATTAAGTTATAGAATATGCAAAAAGCTGTTCATTATGAGCATGAATATACAACAGATACCAGTGCTGGGTGGAGGCAGGCGGGAAATCTACATCTGCAGGGCCAGAAACAGTCAGAGACACTTAGCAAGGACAATACAGCACGCCTGTGTGGACTAGCAGCTGCATTGTTGTGAGGATAATTAGAGCCTCCTTCTCGGCTGTGGTCGTCTGATGAAGCAACAACCTGAAAGTTGGGTGCACGAACGTAAAAGAGCTCAATTTATACTTGTTTCTCCTGTTTTTTTTTTTATGCACGCAAAACAACAAGGCTGTAAACACCAGCCTCCGTTCATTAACGGGAGGAAGAAGAGAGCCAACACAGTTAATGGGATGAGGAGAGCTGCAGCTTTGTGTCGCATCACGAGTCCAGAGTCCCTCAGACAGCTGAGTTTGGTCTGGTCGCTGTTAAATCCAACATGGTGTTCCCATTTACATGGCTCAGATTTATTTGAAGTGGGGTTCTATGAAAGGACTATGTGGAGTTAATATTTCACCTGTTGCACGGTAGATTGCATTATGAATGATCTCGGGTGTTTGAAATAGATTAGTTCTGCTGATCCAGGGGTCTGAAACCTGCTGCTCTTGAGCCACAAGTGGCTGTCTGACTAAAACTGATATTGAAAAAAACTAACTCGAGTGCAGGGTGGAGCTCTCAGAGGGTTTTAAGCCCGAACGCTCCATTTTAGCTCCGACGTTCGTTATTCCTGGAAGGATTAATAGCACGATGACTAAGAGCAAGAATGCTCAAGCTGCAACCCAGGAAACAGATGCGACCTCGGGGAGGGCAGCGGCTGCCACAGTCTCAACTCCTTCAGGTCCGCCGACGCCAGATTCTGTCATGTGTCGGTTGTGGATGAGACCAAAGTGCAAGTGAGAAGGACCTCTGGGAGGCAGAAAAGCAGGTTGAGGTGTTTAATTTAAAAGCCATGTCAGGACCAAGACGAGCAACATAAACATGGCAGCTACGGGAGAACAACAGCGTGTGATAACAGAAGTACCAACAACAAACTATGGCACAAGCAGGCCTTAAATACAAGAGGGCACAGGAAACACAGGTGACCAGGGAAACAACAAGGGAGACAAGATACCAGTGAACAGGGCAGCAACGAGAGCGCAGGGGCCAGCAGAGTCCGGAGGCCGGCGCCGAGGACACAGGAGTGGGACCACAGGAACACAGCAGGCATAACACAGGAACCAGAAACACGGGAGGACCTTGAACCTCCAC